TTTATACTAGAAGAACAAGTAGAACTATAAGAAGAGTTAAAAAACTAAGGAACTACTGTATCTACAAACTACTTTTTATATTAACTGAATAACAAGAGTAAAGTAAGGAATAAAACTTAAGAATAAGATCAAAGAAATAATAAAGACAAATATTACAAAGCTAACAGGTGTATTAGAGGCCAGGAAGAATTAATAGAGTGTTGTACATTAGAGAATATAGACTAAGAGACTATTACACAAGAAAGGTACAAGTTACTATATTAGGCAAGAAATAGATTAGCTACATTGTGATTGTATACACTACTTCATGTCTCTGTAGCTCTCTCCTACACTCAATACTAAGACAATCTCTATGAAACTTTGTGAAACAATAGATAAGATGTTAAGGATTATAAAAATCCAGTTATAATGTTGGTCTTTCATAAAGCTGACAAAGATATGAAGAAAACAAAATAGGTCCAATCCTACAATCCTAACAGTAAGTTCTAAAATTGAATACAGAAGTATAAAGATAAGGTTAGAAGTTAATAAGGATAATTGTCTCCTAAACTAAGTCTATTAAAGAAGACTTAGAGAAGTAACTAAAACTCTAGTTGTCAGTTCTAGAGATAGTATAAAGTAACAGTCTTTTATATTACAGAAGTTATAAGGAGTCATTAGAAGTTATAATACTCTACCTTATAAGAAAATGTATTATAAACTAGTATACAAGAAGTATAGGCTGAGTCAGAGTAAGTTATAAGAAGACTACAGAACAATACAAAGCTCTACACTATAGGAAAAGTATTACACAGCTTAGAAAGTATAACTAGTCAGGAGGACTCATAAGGAGTCATTAGAAGCTTAAAAGGAAGTATAGAAAACATAACAATACAGTAAAGGAGTTATTAGAAGATTAATCTAAAATATAAGAAGACACAAACTAGTGTTAGAAGATTAATCTAGAATATAAGAAGTGTAGCATAATGTCTAAAGGATTAGCCAGCTCTACTTCATAGAAACAACAGTAAAGAGAGTTACTAAAGTTACTAGAGTAACATTACTCTAGTAAAAGGTATATAAGAAGGCCAGTTTGGCCCTCAAAAGTAGTTTTATTAACTTAAGTTACTTAGTACTTAAAAGTACTCTACTCTCAACCTACTAGGCTACACTTGTAGCTTGACTAAAGTAGGACTCCTCTACCCTCTTACTCTACAAGCTAATAAGTCTTACCCTTTATACTCTATTATATTACTATTCCTAATAATCAGAACTAGTAAAGTGAGTATATTATACATTATATATAGTTTATTTTCTTCTACTCTGTCTCTTATTACTACTTTTAAAGTTACACCTTTTAGTTCTTCCTTTAATGTGTATACATAATACTTAAAAACTGAGACAATTCTAATACAATAGATGAGAACAAGAGTGAACTCTGTATAGTATTTATACAGTAGTAAATGAGTAGCTTTATAAATCTCTACTTTTTACTCTACACTTTTTTAATCATTCTGTTCAAATCAGAATTAAGTACAAGTATCTTTATTATCTTTATAGTATAATTTCTAACTATTTATATATTAGAAAGCTTTAATATAGTACTTTAGAAGACAGTTAGTATTCTTCTAATAAGAGAGAAGAGAGTATTATACATATTAAGATTAATACTATTGTCCAACTACTAATATACATTAGTAAGAGACACATACTAAGACAAAATGAATTTTTCATCAATATAGTACTTATTATACCTATTTAAGATCTACTTAAAAAGGTAGTATACAAGATAGTCACACTTTATATTATTGTACAAAGTAGACTCAATAGTATTACAAAAATGTTTTAGAGTAGGAATCAAATCAGATAGATAGATTGTAGACTATAGAAGGATTAAAGACACTATTAAGTTAAAGGAGAATATTAAAGAAGAGGCTAGACATGACTGTATAATGTGTAAGGAGGTGTTTACATATATTGTTACTTTACACAAATTGATCAGAATGAGTAGGAAAATAGGAGAGGAATATAAGGTTTACAGACAGAAGGGTTAGTAAGTTCTGAGTATATTGTAAAATATTAAATAACCTGAATACAAAGAACAAAGTAATCAAAATCAACTTAATCATACTTTTACACAAAATACAGACTAAATACAAGATAACATACTCTTAAGATTAAAGTTGAGTAGTAATAGAGAGTGAATAAAAATGAGATAACTGAGTAAAGAAGTATAATAGTGTATTAGAAGTAATGTACCATATTTACATAATAATTTGCCTGACTACACCTTTACTTATTCAAGTCAAACAGATAGATAGTAGATCAATCATTATAATTAGTCTATTTTATTAAGTAATCTAACACTTCCTTATATATTATATACAGATAAAGTAGATAAATAAGTACTATAAAGAGTTAATCAAACTATACTAGAATTTGACTAATGTATAGTAGATAACAAAATCAGTTATAATTAGTTTATATTTGATTAAAACTGTAACACATATATTAATACAAACTATATGAATTAGTATAAAAGGGTTTATAAATATAGAATAATAATAATAAAATTGATTAATATCTTTTAAATATATTGTCACACTCATACAACACATATGTTCTAATATGTTCTAATCAGAAGGGCTCAGTTGTATCAAATTCACATTATCCTCATGTTAGCAATCCTTTGATTACATCATCATTACTCAAACAATAGTCTTAGTTGCTTAATTCAGATTAGTTAGGTTTCAGACTATAGTTTCAATCCACAAAGGTAAGACTCAGAGCCTTCAGACAATTGATTGATTAATACAAAGAGGACTTAGACCTGGAGTTCTGGACAGATTGATACAAAGGAAACAGTGGTGGGTTTGTTCACAAAGGACTAGTAGTTACAAAGGACTCATATTTTCTATAAATACTCTCATATAATTCATACTTTCTAATAATCAAGTTACTCTACTACAATTCTTAGTGTGTAATTTGACAGTCTTAGTAGTAAACATTCTACTTTATCTAGTCTTGTCTCATACTGTCTTATTCCAAGTGTAGCTTTGTCATTCTGTACTATTCTTGTCTTGTTAATTGTCACCTTCAGAGCTTGTACATTCTACTTGGATCTACCTATTCCTTCTCACACTTGATTCCTCTCAGTGTCTGTACCTTACAGACTCAACTGATTCTCTTCTACCTTAACTAGTACTTGAGATTAACAATATCAAGTTATTAAATGCCTTATTAATTAAGAAAATTGTTTGTTTTACTTTTACTTAAATGTTCACCTTTAAATCCTAGAAGACTTTGAGTGAAATATAAAGAACACTCTTGTCAAAGTAACTATTATTATTTTATATATTCAAATCACAAGTTTTTATACTAAACTCTAATAATACTCTAATACTCTAATAACACAGGTCTTATTAATGAATTATAATGTTGTATTTAAAGAGGCTTTAGTATGATTGTATTTAGATCATATTATTATATTTATTGTTACACTAATAGAATTATTTATTTATTTATATTATACAGTACAGAAATTACATTTGAAGCTATTATTAAGAGGAGGTCCAGAGGGCAAGCCCCCTGACTTTCACTGAAGGTGAAAAAGTAAAGCTTGTGGTCAATAAGGATCTTGTGTACTTACAATATTTGTAGACTTCCTTCAAAGGCATGTCCTGGCTCTTTACTATGAGAGTAAGTATGACAAATTACTAGCAAAAGATACAGTTGAAGAGCTTGACAGACAAGGGTCTTTCAATCTGTTTAAAGGTTCTTCTTACTGTAGAAGCAGGCTTTAGACTTGGTATTATTGTCTGTGACAGGTTATTTGAAGATAGTGAGACTGCCATTTGCCTTGTCTGTTAGAATGATATGTGGACTGTTAACTGAAAATATTTTAGTTACTGTCACACGAGGCAAAATCAAATTTTGGAAGTATTCAGAATTTTAATCAGAACGTGAGAAAGCTGCTCTGATTGGCTGCTTTTACATTCTGACTAAAATTCTGGTCAATACATAATGTGAATTTGCCTCGTGTGTGTTGGAAGCCTTGTACAGGGCATCACCTTTTGTTGGGTGAGTAGAGATCTTCCAAACACACTGGTCATCATCTCTTGGTAAGAGATTTCTTTGAATACTTCAGCTTGGACTCACCGGGATAGGACTACCCCTCTGATATATGGAACAATCTTGCTATGTTTGGCTCTCTACAAGTGTTCAGGGTACTGGAGAATGTCATCCGGATTCAGGGGATTCTATCTTGTTAATGTTATCGTCACTGACCAAGCCTTATCCTACTGTCTGCTAGTAGAATTTTGCATACTCGAGATTCTATGCTGACAAATATATATAGCGAAATATTCTGTTGCGTACTAAAAATAGTCCAAAATCAGGTTTTTGTGAGCAATCCATCCGTTTCGACACTTCTGAATGCTGCTGGAAGTCCAACGCTTCTCTGCATCTTCGGAAGTTACATGCTGGTCAACCTGAAGGAGGCGTGCGAGGTGGCGTTTCCTGAACGAACGAATTACAGATCAAGCACTGATGGTACTAGTGAAATTGAATACGCAATCAGTAGATTCAGTACGCATATAGTCTTTGTTGTCTCTTTTCAACGCAGCTGATACATTGTAAATACTTCATTAGCATCCTCGTATGAGGAAGGCACACCAAGCGTTTGGAGCTGCGATTTCGCCGTTCGATCCTAATGAATGCCGGGAACCCTATTTACCTGGGATATTTTAGGCGCATGATATCGCGCCCAGACACATTTGTGTTTTCCCATTGGCTTCTTATTTTTGTCACGTATTTGATATTTATTCCAGGTGCAAGTCAAGCGACCGGCATCTGGACGAAGTATTGTACACGCGGAGCGGAACGAGTATTCTATGAAAATCGTAATATATAAAAGCGTTCAAGTTAGGTATAAGTCAAAGCAAAGGCAATCTGCATCGGACAGTTGCAGAATGCATACACAGAAACACTATTATCTATATCCATATGATATTAATTCGAATCTAAACTTCCTCACCAAGACGCCACTCAAGCAAATCAGCATACTCGTTTATCCCTTTCACAAGTGCCTTAACGTGTGTACGAGTTGGAGTTCCAAGCTCGGGACTCGTCACTGAGCTATTTGAACTGGTAATAACCTTCTTCAAGTCTTCTATCCCCTTCACAGTTGAGCCTCCAGGGCCTTCAACGAAAGTGTCCTTCCCATCGACGCCCTCTGCAGCACCAAGCCACTTCGCAAGTTGTCGAATCTCCTTAGGGTCTGCGAAGCCCCACCAACGTTCCTCCTTCTCATGTTTAGCAGGCCCTATTATTCCACCCGGACCCCAGACCGCGAGGAACCAGCCCCACTTGCGGAGTCCTGTTCGGTCCTCTTCATCCGGTATCTTTGGCTTCCTGCGTTTGTCCTTGTCCTGGCGCATAGAAGAAGCATAGTACACACGCCCAGATGAATCCCTGCCTAATGAACCAAAACGTGGTGCATAAGTTTGTAGTTCGAGCATACGCGCATTCTCGAGTGTCGCGAGTTTCCGTTTATGGGCTGCGTAAGCAGTGCGATATGCCTTGTCCTTCTCCGGATCTTTCTCTCTAGCCTTTCCTTTATCCGAAGTACCTTCAGCGCTCTGATCGTTCACTGGCTCTTTATCATCCTTCCTTTCGCCCCATCCAAGAGAAACACGCTCTTCAGCCCAGCGTTCGTTCTCCTTGCGTATCTCCGAGAAATACGACCGATTCTTTTCCCGTGCGTCATTCGCTTGTTTTTCAATGTCAGCGCGAATAGAGGGTCCTTGCATGGCACATTCGCAAAGTGCGATGATGCAGGGTATAAGCTGCAGAGGGTGTGTCACGCTATTATCCAGGATAAGGACTTCTTCATCTCCAGGCGTATTTCTTGTGTTTGTGCGTGACTTAATGCGGGAGCTTGTGCGATTTGTGTATGAGTCGGCCTCGTCTTCGGCATCATCTTCTGCGAACGAAGGTCGGGATGCGGGGTCCGGAATTGGAACGACGAAGAAATCGTTCGGCAAGGCCTTTCGAAGAATCTTGAGACGAGCCCAGAGCACTGCGGGATCTGAGCCTGAGCTGCTGATTTTCTTCAGTGTCTCGCGAATGATTTTCTGTTCATCCGGCTCTGCATCCGCCACAATTAAATCAAGTAACCCGTATATAAGCGCCTTCGCGCACGGTCGGCTGAGCACGTCAAAGAGGTCCAGATCTTCTAAATGGGTAACGCCGACTCTCGTTATTAATGGAGAAAATCGTAGCATGAATTCTCGTATCTGCAGCGGTGGACAATTGTGAGAAGCCTGAATTTTTTGGCATGATACACCTTGATACTTACATAAAACCTATCTTCGGCTTGCGAAAGGTCCAGCTCCGTCGGCACCGCGGTCCATTTCGGCTCTCGGATCGGCTTCTTGACTCGTGGAGCTCGTGTTTTTGGTTGCTCCGGTTGAAGGCTCTTCGCGTCGCTACTTTGAATATTCGAATTGAGCCTGAATACGTTCGCCATAGCTGTATGCAGCGGAACATTCGGCATCATGGGTTGTAACTGCACCGGTATTCTTCTATAGTAGCGGGTCAAAACAGCATCAGACAATATATAGTTGGTAGCCTTACCCAGTAGGAGGAAGTCCTTTCGACTTTCGACACCGAATACAATTGCAGGTATCCTCACATTTAGGGCAACTATATGGGTTCTCTTTGTTTGAACACACATTGTTTGAAGAAACAACGAAATCTGACTTACGCCCATTGATAGCCCGCTTCAGATACATGTCTTCCATTTTGAGCGGCTGTACAATGCTTTATCGCTTCAATATCTTGACCATATCTATTTCTCAGGCAAGGCTTGCAATATTTGGATTTGCAGCGTTTCTTGGAAAGAATTGTACAATGAAGGCCCACTAGATAGAACAAGGGTTCAGCAGGGTATCTTGACATGCATTTCGCGACGTAGGAACCACGGGAACGGAAGGAGCAGAGTCCGCCTCGACGGGCACATGCTTACATATTGTTTCCGTCCATACTATGTTATAATTGTTGATGGATAGGCATACTCACATGAGTTATCAAATTTCCGTCGGCATTGATGACAGCGAAAGTAGCCATTGGGATAACCTTCCGGCTCCTTGTCTCTTTGTTTCGCTGTCATGGATAACTTGGGTTTCTTATTTGGAGATTCTGTAGATGCATTGACGTTGAAAGCCCTCTTCGAAAGTGGGCTTGGCCTTATGCCATTATTGAGCGTACCCTTCATGAATGATTTAGACAATGGCGGGGGCGGAATATCGACAAAGGCTTGACTACGTCGCCCTTGTAGTGGTGTTCCGCTGAAAGGCCTAGATGAATTACCAGGAGTTGAGCGATGGAATGGTGACGGGGGGATCTCGACGAAGACATCTAGCTTCCGTTTCTTTGAGATAGAGTTGGGTTGAGATCCAGACATATTCTGTGTCAGCAAGGTTGACTTCGCTGTGGCGTTCGGAGTATTCCTCGTGGTTAAATGCACAGTTTGTGCAGGAGATGGCGGAATATCTAAGAATACCTCGATGCGGTGGTTGCGGAAGTCGGAAAGGCGGGATAGTGGAATGGAAGAGGAGGAGGCGGCTAGAGTACTCATCAGAGGATGCAGTCGCAAGCCTCGGTTGTTCGGAGGTGGTGGTTAGAGGACAGGATGTTGGTTTGTGGACGCGAGATGGATTGAACAGAACATATGATGACATAATTCCGCGCGTGACCGTGTCAATTACCTCATCCCAAAAATTCGTCACGGCCATCGGCCCCGCTGAGCTGGACACCTCGTCTTCACCGACTCCCCTCCTTTCCGTCAGACAAAGCTCTGAAAATCAAAAATGGCGCACGCCGACCACACTCGCGATCCTTGGTGCGTATGTTTTGCATTTTTGAGTTTACTAGCTGCTAAGTTTCTCTGTTCGAATAGTCCCTGGGTCGTCCTCAACGACTTCGGCGGTGCATTCGCTATGGGTGCCATTGGTGGAGGTATCTGGCATGGTGTCAAAGGGGCACGGAACTCGCCAAGGGTATGTCCGAGTGTTCTTCTCATAATACATTTTATTTATCGTAATACTTCAGGGCGAACGCCTCGTCGGTGCAGTTTCCGTCATTAAGGCTCGTGCGCCTGTAACTGGAGGCAATTTCGGTGTTTGGGGAGGCATGTTCTCGACATTTGATTGTGCGGTAAAGGGGTACCGACAAAAAGAGGATGCATGGAATGCTATCATCTCCGGATTCTTGACTGGCGGGTGTCTCGCAGCACGAAGTACGTCTATTACACCCAGCTCCTACTTTCCTTGCCTGACAAGCTTGTTCACTGCGCAGGTGGGCCACGATCTGCACTTGGTTCTGCCATTGCATGTAGTATACTTCTAGGCGTCTTCGAGGGTGTCGGTGTCCTGCTGAACAGAGTTTTCAGCGAAGGCAACCGACAGCAACTTCCACCTTGTACGTTTACCGTTCGTTATCTCCGCGCGGTCATGACCTCATTTTTCATTGGTTCCAGTACCCGAAAGCATGTCACCAGCCACAGCTCCTGCATAGTCCTTTGCACACTGCACTTCGTCTCGTTCACATTAGATCTCTTATGTATTGTCACATCTGCACTTCCTTACCTTTTATCCCTACTCAGCTGTCGATGCATAATACACCTACTGCACCAGGACTTTGGTATTATCACCACGAGAAATGCGAGTTTGTATGCGACTATTGGTTGGCCGTACAGCGACTGACCCGAGGTTGCTGAAAAGTCTGGCGGACCTCCGATACACGGAATGACATGCGACCTGATTCGCTGACCGACGATACTAATTGGCACAGAGTCTCATTCGCCTTTTGCATATCTTTATTGTCACTATTGGCGCTTCTCGCCGGTTATGTTCACTCAGCTTTTCAATAAGCACAATAAAATATGCTGCGTAAGAATTAGTAAAATTATCGAACAAACCGTGCTGTCGAAAAAAGGAAGAAATTTAAGGGACAATTGACAACTGGTCACGTGAGCAACGTCAAAGCTTTGAGCACTAACACTCGAGCACTGTCTGCATGCCTTCTTATGCACTTTTGGCTCAGAGTGCACGTCCAGCGTCTTTCATACGGCATGGGTTCAAAGTTGTAAGACCTCGATGCGTACGACATTGTCAAGTCGTTTACCGCACAGCTTCAACTTCTGCCGCTTTAGCAAAGGAGGAGCTCAAAGATGCCACGCAAACTCTGAACGAACGGCAAGACGAAACGCGATATTCTCTACAAAATGTGCGATCAGTCTTAGCATCATCATTACGTCTCAGAGGCAAAGCAAGTGCTAGACCCGATTCAATACTTGAACCTCTCGTCTCAGCGTGCGACTCTCTTCTCGCTTGTGAACTCGGTAGAGATGTCCGAATCGCTGGTACGTCAATGCTTTAATGCCCACGTTTATTTTGGTGCTGATGATTGAGGTGAAGTGTATAGCGAGGAAGATACCCCGGCTCGTGATCTCGTCACCGTTTTGCTAGACGATCCATTATCTTCGGATGCGACTTTACGCTCTGCTATTCAAACACGCTGGACAACACGGGAAGGATCACGGAGACGTGCTCTTCTGTTTCGGTACGCGCTAAGCACTGCAGGTTATGATGAGCGTAACGTATCCTTAACCCATTTTTTATTAGAGCGGCTGCGGTAGATTCCGACGTTGTTGACGAGAACGCAATATCCGTTGCATCACCGTTTTTCACTCGGTTCTCACATCCTGTTTCGCTGCATGGGCTCAGCCACTCGACTCCCATAAATGAAACTGTCGCGCATCTTTTAGAAGCCGATGTTCTGATCATTGTCGTTTCCCCGTTTCAATCACCTTCCTTCCCCGTCCTTTTCACGCTCTTACGGAACACACATGCTCTACTAGTTGTGGATAGTGCTCTAAATCCTGCATCTCCATCAGCAAAACGCCTTCGTTCTCAAGTTGCGGACAAATATGGATGTGATGCAAGTAGGGTTCTTTTAGTTGACACCTCCCGTGCACGCCGTGGAGCGACAACATTGTCGAAAGATCCATCATCTGCTACTACAGTCCGTAGTTTTCAGGAAGACGTATTGGCTTCCGGAATTCCGGCACTGCTCAAGACTCTAACCGATGTGGTTTCTCTCGGGACAGCTCGATTGCGTGCAGATGCAGAACTAACAATGACGAAATACGCTGTATCAGCATCAAAGCAGGTCTTACAGACGGCAAAGGAAGAAGTGCGTTATGTACGCAGTCGCGTCAGTGCGTTGCAGGAACACGCACTGGAAGAACGTGAATGCGCTGAAGCGGAAATCTTGGGTGGCGATGCTGATTTAGCGACTCCAGACGAACAAGGGAGAATAGCCAAAGGAGTTGAGAGGGCAGCTGTAGATATCAGACCTGTTTTAAATGGATTGACATGGTATCGGCTGCCGTTTGTCGTAGATGACGTGAGCGTCCGAGTTGATAACGCAGTTGAGCGTGCGTTTTCAAGGGAGTTTGAGCAGGAGGTACGATTGATTTCATATCAATGTTCAAACTTGGGCTGACTCTATGAGTAGTTGATGTTCCATACTGGTCGTCTTTCTGCGCGTCAAGTGCATTTGGTTTCACGGACAATGACTCTTCTTGCTTCTCTTCCTCCAACTTTCCAATCATCTCTTCTACAAAATGCTGTTGCGCAACTCACATCAGCACCGTCGTTCCCAATCACTTCATCTGCACCTTCTCCAACTTATTCACCCTTATCAAATAACTCGACACCAATCCCAGCTCTACTCACTCCTGTCCGCTCACGTACCGCCCAACTAGCGCACGCAACACGCTCATTACACCTCTCAGCTCAACGTCTCCTCTTACTCACTTTTTCGACAACCACGTTGTCCACCGTCTCGTCTGCTCTTCTCTATGTCAACACCACAGCCGATGCAGCCAGTTCCATCGGAGCCGGACTACTCGGAACGCTCCTTGGTCTGCGCTGGGCAGTGGGACGTTGGGCGCATGCACGAGAAAAGTGGTGGGGTTCCTTTAGCCGTGTGGGTGACGGGTTAGCAAGGGATATGAGCAGCACTTTGAGAGGTGTGTTGGATAGGCAAATATGTGTTGTGCCCAATGAGGCATGCAAAGGATTGCAGAGACTTGTAGAGAGGCGGGAAAAGGAGATCGGGGAAGTTGAGGATGAAGTGGAAAAACTTGCGTCTGTGCTTGAAGGACCGAAGGAGAACACGGCGCGGGACAAGATTGACGAGGATAATGTAATGTAACCTCGCACGTTTGATGGTAGATTGGATTTCTTTCCCTTGGGCCTTCAGAGCTTGCGCGCCACGAAACAAGTAAGGATAACAGATAGATAGCATTCAGACAGCTTAGCGTCTCATCTTACAAACATTTACACCCTATTCAAAATTTACCACTAGAAGCGTACAAAACATCCATCCGTAAGGCTCAAGAGCTCGTGACGATGATTTTTGGACCCGCAGTCTGTTGGGGTGTTGAAGCTCCTGATGAACGTGCAGGAGGTGGCCGTGAAGCAGCAGCGCCACGATGATTTTCGTCCTCGCTATCGCTGTCACCAATACCAAAGAGCTCTTCTCGCTCGTCCCATACGTCGCCAATACGAATGCGATCGCCTTTTGCGGGAGTACTGGGGAGACTTGTCCCTCTACGGTCGTGATGCGTGGGAAGGAGCATTGTTCCTAGTGTGTTGTCTTCGTCTTCTGATTCGGTGAGACTGGCGTCGTCTGCGTCGAGGGCGACTGGACGGTATAAGCGTGCGATCTGGCCATTTCAAGTTAGATTGGGACGTGATACGCGAGCTAGGAGAGGAAGACGTACTTCTCTCCGATGTCTATAGTATTTCTCTAGATAATACGCTGTCCAGAGGCCGATTGCGGAACCTAGGAGGTTTGCCTGTGCATCGTAATATAGCATTACTGTAAGCTGTGCAATTCTTGATTGCAGCCGTGGTTGGTTACTCACCGCGATGTCACCCATGTCGAATTCCTGATACTGTGGATACTTGCCTGAGACTATGAACACGTTTGATGGATGATAAACGCTCAACTGGAAGAAGTGATTGGATGATCTCGCTGACGATCCCTCCGAAGAAGAAGCATATAACGGCGGTCAGGATTAACGGCGCGTGTCGCCATATCCATATTCGCCGTGCATCTCTATCTCAGAACTCCATTAGCCAAGCAAGGAATAACGTAACAATGAATTATAGGAGCAACGCACTCTTCTACGTCAAAGATGAAATAGAACACCGTCGTGGCCAGACAAAGACACACGAGATGAAGGATCTTGTTGTTAAGTGGTAACGACTGTGCGAAATTCGTGAAACTTAAGAATGCCAGCATGAACATCACGATTGCAGTGAATATTATAAACCACTATATAGTTTCATCGTCGTATAAGTCACAAACTTGAACGAAATTGTGTCGAAGACTTGACTTACTGGTCGAAGCCGCAACGGCAGGTCATAATTCGGAAGCTTGAACTTGTAGGAGCGCATCACAGCCTTGAATGCGCGCCTCCAAGTCTTTCGTGAACTCTTTCCAGCTCCATTATTCCGTCTGTTTGTAGACGACGAGGATAAACCAAGCATCGTACTGATGGATGCGGTGAGGGTCGCAGACTGGTGAAGCGAAGCCCGCCTCAGAGTGTGCCGATGTCTGCGCTGTCCGGCTATCCAAATGAGGAAAGGGTAGATCGACGCTGGTAACTGACACACGTGCTTGATTGTTTCCTAGTTTGGAACTTATTCTCTCACTCGATTACAGACAGCTCAAACTCCTTGAGTCATGTTTGTCACATGTGGACAACTTGGAGGACGTTCTATCGTTCCTCGACGAGAACATTGAGAATGTCTTTTGTCGCTACTCCATCCAGGCATCTTTACACCCATCCTAAGAGCTTGAAGTTTAGCTCGGAAAATCTGGAAACGTATGTCCTAAAAGGTACGGCTCAATTCTCTTCGTATTGGAGTGTTACGTTCGATAACAGTTTAATTTTAACCGATTAAAGATGGTATCAAAGTCGTAGAGAGATCCTTCTCTGTTCCACTGGATTACTCAAATCCAGATGGAGAGAAGATCCGCGTCCATGCAAGGAATATGGTTCCACTGAAGAAGGCAGATACACCAAAGAAGGAAGCTGAACTGCCTTTTAGTAATTATTTAGTGATCGTGGACACAGATATTATGCTTATATTGACATTTAATTCATAGTGGTGTACTTACAAGGCAAGAATTCCATGCACTAGATGCTTATATCGAGTTGACATCCCACGTAGGTGGTCCGGGATTCGAAGTAACCACGAGTTTTGCTCGTCATCTTGCGGAAGAGGTGAGTTTATCCGCTTAAGCTGGCTTATACGTGTCGAGTAAGAACATTCTGACTGGATCGCAAGATACATGAAAGAGGTTATCAGGTACATCGTTTACTTGTCTGTATTCTTTGTGTCATATATCCCATGATTTAGACTCTGTGGCTCGATCAACGGGGTACGGGTTTAAGCACGCCTATCTCCGCAGAGCTTTTAGAACACAAGTCGGATGAAGAGAAGGCGGACTATCTGAAGCATTTCCGTGCAGACAACATCGGTAAAGCCTCTAACGTCATCTTCTAACAAGAGTGATTTGTTCTTTTACTAACCTGCAGCCTAAGTTCGGGATTGCGAATTCATTCGTGGTGCTCTCCTCTCCCACAAGAAAAACGAGGCGGAAAAAAAGTGGACACTGCTTGGACAAAGCTATGGCGGATTCATTGCTCTCAATTACTTATCATTCTTTCCCGACGGGTTGAAGGAGGTGTTCCTTACTGGTGGGCTCGCACCGATTGTGGACCATCCTGACCCGGTGTATGAAAAGACAATCTGTGAGCCTCACCCCGACATTCTTCGTACAAATAAGTACCGACTTATAGGATAATGAAATAGCTAGAGTAGCTCAGCGAAACAAAATCTATTACGAGAAATATCCTCAGGACATCATGCGAGTTCGGAATATTCTGAGCTATTTGGAATCGAATGAAGTAACCCTCCCGAATGGTGGACGACTTTCCGTCAATCGTTGGTTGCAACTTGGCATTAAATTCGGAATGGAAAGTGAGTATTTGATTATTTAGTAGCGAGGCACCTTTTGTAAGGCTCTCTTGATTGTCTAATATAGATGGGATTGACGAAGTGCATGGTATGTTCATTCAAGATTTTTGTTTCAAACCCTTTTATTCTTATTTTCTCCTTGACAGAACTCGTCCTTCGCGCAACGAATGATCTTGAACTCTTTGGCAAGTTATCGTATAAGCTATTACAATCTGTGCAGAACGAGTCTGCATATGATGGAAACCCAATATATGCCATTATTCACGAGGCATGTTACTGTCAAGGGTTCGTTGTCTTTTCATTTGTCATAATCGCTTTGCCATAATATGGATTCGTCCATGTAAAATTTTCTTAATACATCTAGCCGTGCCTCGAAGTGGAGTGCGAATTGGATTATCGAGAGCGATCGCAGATTCTCATGGCATCATGTCAAAACACAGGCGGAGACTGTACCAGTATACTATTTCGGAGAGATGGTAAGTTCGTTCCACTATGTCGGTACATTACTTGATATTTAGAAAATTCGATACAGATATTCCCAGACATGTTTGATGACTACGCAGCACTCAAACCTCTTAAGAACGCCGCCAACATTCTCGCCAGTTATGAAGACTGGGGACGTCTTTACGATGAGGAACAACTGGCAAAGAATGAAGTTAAAGTCACTGCTGCTTCGTACATCCGTTCGCTACCCTTATTTGGATTAAACTCAGAGGAATGTTTTTATAGGTACTTTGATGATATGTATGTCGACTTCGATCTTGCTCAGGAAACGGTCGCGAAGGTCCGTGGGGCTGAGCAGTTCATCACGAACCAAATGTTCCATGACGGGCTCCGGAAGCATACGAAAGAAGTCCTGGGGAAGTTATTTGAGATCTCGCGAAGGGAGTTCAATTAAAGTAGCTCCCAGTCTCGAGTCAATATGTACTTCTTAAATCAATCAAGTTCTCCACGTGATCTTATGAATGCGTCGATTACGACATGAGGAACCGAGGATCGACAGTTACATCGTGGAACTGTGGCGGAATGACGTCGCCAATGCTCTCATCGTACACTTATAAACTGAGCAGAATGAATTGGCATGTCTCCCACTCGACTCAGACATTCCACCGTTCCACTCTCACTGATTAACAATATTCAACAATGGTCAACCCAACACTCGACCCGTACACCGCGAACGCCGTGAACGACGACGTCACTCCGCAGAAGAAAATTGAGGATTTGAAATCTATCCTGAAAGTCGTCAAGACTGGCATGCTAACCACCCGTGACAAGGATGGCATGTTGCACTCCCGCGCAATGACCCCTGCAGGACGTGAGCATTATAGTCGTTGAACCTTTATTTTGCGATACTTAAAGAACAAGACAGCGTATTCCGATACTCAACTTACGTTGACGTTCCTTGCGAACAACGTCTCTCACAAGTTCGAGGAGCTGCAGCAGGACTCGCATGTCAACATTTCGTTCTTTGATGAGAAGACCACGAATTGGGCGTCCTTCGCTGGCACTGCCACTGTTAGCCAGGACCGTGAACTCATCAAAAAGCTCTGGAGTCCCATGTAAGTATACAATTCCTTGGGATGAGGTAATACTGAAGCAAGCTATTGTTTAATAGTACTGCAGCGTACTTTGGCGACCTGAAGGATGGTGTGCATAAGGGCGACGAAAACGACCCTCGCATTTCCGTCATCGAAGTCATCCCGGAGGAGATCCAATATTGGATTGCCACGCGTGGTGCGCTTGGGCGCACAGTCGAAAATGCATTTGACGCGGTCACTGGAAAGACAAGCGCTCCAGGCGAAATAAGGAAACTCTCAAGCTCTGAGGTGAGACAAGACCCGTATAATATGCAATATTAGATCACTCACTGATTTCTCGTCCAGATCCAACTGACTCAGGGATTGCACACGAAGCAAACATAACGCGTAACTTGTAGGACAATGTAACTTTAGTACTTTTTATCCATTTGTACGCATAGTGTTTCAAGTATGGCAGATGTGAATTTTCCAGTGAGCTTTTTGCGAACCGTATTTAACGAGGCCTGCCAATGTAGCAAGCTTCTAACAAGTACTAGTAGCAAATAAGGATCTAGCAAAGGTGATTGATGACTTGACCTGTCATTCGTACTTCGGAGAAGAAATTAGTGTCCTTTGCGCAAATTACAATCTGTCGACTCATTCAATTTGTTACTTGGCGCAGAGTTGACCGCATGGGGAACCATCTAGTAGTGCTCCGCACCGTAGCGTAATTTACGGATACGCCTGCAGCGTATACGCTTACGCACCGTATCGTAAGAGAAAATTTTAGCTGAAAATACGGGCGTATATTTACGCGCGTATGCGTATACCATAAGTAAAAAATTTCCGTATACGCCGTATACGAGTATACGGTATTACTAAGCATATTCTCTAATTAAATACTAAGTTTGAGTTTCTAAACCTCATTTACTTTACTTATTTATATACCAAATCATTTTAATACTATATAACAACCTTGTTTAACTTAAAAAGTACTAGTATGAGTAC